TATTGTTGAAGAAATTGGCTGTCTTGGAATTTCCCAGAATTTGGTTTGCTGATGGCATCCCTGTGATGCTTAACATGTTCCTATGTCGTTGTAAGCTGTAAACTGGTAGTTGGATTTAGAAGCTTGACCAGATTCAAGTTCAATTATTGTTTTTTGTCAAGAATAATGCACATATAGTGTTCTGCACTTCTGTTAGGAGGTACATAATGTCTAAGTGTCTCTCTCTAGTGTTTAGCAGCCATTAGTGAACACTGTCCAGAGTCATTAATTCATTAGAAGGTTGCCACATGCTGATATCTCAATTCTTTCCATCCTCATTTATTTATTAGCTGGAAAAATTCTATAAAGAGAAACTTACCCTTGATTATTTGATTACTTTGAGGCCAGTTTTTTTTTTTTAACACAATCCTGTAGCGTTCTTTAAAGATGACTAATGAATTTAGATTTTTGATATCATTCTGAACTTACATTTATATATACTTGATATGTTTCCATTGAATTCATTTCATTTATCATTCCACTGAAGAGCTCAAATTATCCCATCTTTGGCCAGTTGGATCCTCTTTGGACAGAATCATAGTACTTTTTCATAGCATCCTTGATACCTGGCATGACAATATAGTCCAGGCTCATTTAATAAACTTCCTGTCTCAGATCTTGAATCAGCCATATATTTTTTTAATACTTTAAGTTCTAGGGTACATGTGCACAACGTGCAGGTTTGTTACATATGTTTACATGTGCCATGTTCGTGTGCTGTACCCATCAACTCGTCATTTACATTAGGTATATCTCCTAATGCTATCCTTCCCCTGCCCCTCCCCACAATAGGACCCAGTGTGTGATGTTCCCCTTCCTGTGTCCAAGTGATTGTTCAATTCCCACATATGAGTGAGAACATGCGGTATTTGGTTTTCTGTTCTTGTGACAGTTTGCTGAGAATGATGGTTTCCAGCTGCATCCATGTCCCTACAAAGGACATGAACTCATCCTTTTTTATGGCTGCATAGTATTCCATGGTATATATGTGCCACATTTTCTTAATCCAGTCTATCATTGATGGACATTTGGGTTGGTTCCAAGTCTTTGCTATTGTGAACAGTGCCGCAATAAACATACATGTGCATGTGTCTTTATAGCAGCATGACTTATAATCCTTTGGGTATATCCCCAGTAATGGGATGGCTGGGTCAAATGGTATTTCTAATTCTAGATCCTTGAGGAATTGCCACACTGTTTTCCACAATGGTTGAACTAGTTTACAGTCCCACCAACAGTGTAAAAGTGTTCCTATTTCTCCACATCTCTCCAGCACCTGTTGTTTCCTGATTTTTTTAATGATTGCCATTCTAACTGGTGTGAGATGGTATCTCATTGTGATTTTGATTTGCATTTCTCTGATGGTGAGTGATGATGAGCACTTTTTCATGTGTCTGTTGGCGAATCAGCCATATTTCTAAGAGGTGGGTTCCTGTTGATGGAAAATAGTTTTTAGAGATGCAATCAGGGTTCTGGAGGTGCTCATTTCTACTAGTAGTAGGTTGGCCATTGTTTCTAGGCCTTTCCAGTGGAAAGAACTCGAAAATGTATGCTTTAAACCATAAAACACATTATGAATTAGTATTGCTACTCACATTTATTTTCAGGACTACAGCATTTTTACCTCATTGATCTTACAGTTGTATCTACTCTCACCCAAGCTGAAAATTCCAGTTCTCAATGACACCAATATATGCATATTCTTGCTTTACCCCACACTACATACACGACAGTTTCAGAATACTAATACCAGTACTACTATAACAACATGATTCCTGAATCAGTAGATGCAAACAAAACCAGTTAGAAGATATAATGGAATAGAAGACCGTGTGTCTGATAGCTAAAAACAAAATACCTCAGTGTAAACTTAACAAGAAATGTTCAAAATCAGTATTAGGAAAATTATTAAACACTCATAAAGGTATAAAATTAGATTTAAACAATTGGAAAGGTAAATGATAGTCACACAGAAAGTATCATAAATAAGGTATTTCTATGCTTATTTAAATATTTAATGTAATCCCTGTGAAAATCTCATCACATTTTTCCTAGAGCTAGATAAATTGATTATATAGTTTGTTTGGAAGAATAAACATGCAAGAACAGCTAGAAAATGCCTCAAAAGAAGAGCAATGGTATTGTAATAAAACACAACCTCTAAAATTGAAATAGTTTGGTGTTAATGAATAAGCATAAGAATGGAAAAAATAGAAAATTCAAAGGCATACCTAGTTGTATATGAATAATATATGATAAAAGTGATATCTCTTATTAGTAAGTAAAGGATGGAACTTTTAATAAATGGTGTTAGGGTAGCTGGGTAGCTACCTAAGTGTGCAAAGAGATAAAATTGAAGCCACTCCTTTTTATTACATATGTATTACATAACAGGACAATTTTTTTGTTTTTGTTTTTGTTTGTTTTCTTTTTTTGAGACGGAGTCTTGCTCTTTCATTCAGGCTGGAGTGCAGTGGCGCGATCTTGGCTCACTGCGAGCTCCGCCTCCCGGGTTCATGCCATTCTCCTGCCTTAGCCTCCCAAGTAGCTGGGACTACAGGCACCCACCACCACGCCCAGCTAATTTTTTTGTATTTTTTTTTAGTAGAGATGGGGTTTCACTGTGTTAGCCAGGATGGTCTCGATCTCCTGACATTGTGATCCACCCGCCTCAGCCTCCCAAAGTGCTGGGATTACAGGTGTGAGCCACTGCACCTGGCCAATAACAGGAAAAATTCTAAGTGGATGAGAAATTTATGTGTAAAAGGTAAAACATCTAAAATATTGGAGGGAAAAAGCCCTGGGTGAATTAATCTATAACCAGGATTGGAGATGACTCTCTAGATTACACTTGAAAATCCAAAAGTAAAAAGTAAAAGAACTGCCACTTGTGATTACATGAAAACAAATGCTTGACATTTGATCCGTGTGAGTTATCTTAAGCCCATTTTGCAGATGAGAAAAACAGATTCAGAGACATTTTAGTATGTTGCCCAAGTTTATACAGTTAGTAAATGGCAGAGATGGAATCTGAACATGTGGCAGTTGTAACTCATTGCACACTGAGCCACCTAAATTTTTGTTCACATTAAGTACACAGAAAAAGCAGAAAATAAACATTTTCCAGACTCTACTCACAATGGGCAAAATAATCATTTGTTGTTGTCATTGTTGTTGTTTGTTTGAGAGAGTCTCGCTGGGTCACCTTGGCTGGAGATGAGTGGTGTGATCATAGTTCGCTGTAACCTCAAACTTCTGGGCTCATGCAATCTTCCTGCCTCAGCCTCCAGAGTAGCCAAGACCACAGGCATGGGTCACCACACCTGGCCAATTTTAAAATTTTTAGTAGAGGTGGGGTTTTGCTATATTGCTCAGGCTGGTCTCGAACTCCTGACCTCAAGAGATGCCCTGCCTCCACCTCCCAAAGTGCTGGGATTATAGGCATGAGCCACTGGACCCAGGCTAAAATCTTATTAATATTGCCAGGCAAGGTCCCATCCATTCGATTTAGACTTAATGTAAAAGAAGAATTACAGAAGAGCTTTAAAAGGCATGAGACTCTGGGGAGAAAGGAAGACTTTGGTATATTTTGAAGACAAAACTAAAATGTAGTATGATATAACATGTAAATTTATACCTCTTAATTTTTATTCTCTTGGTCAGAAACTCTTTGTGATATCACACCTGCACCCTAATCTAATTCTTGCTCAGAAACACCATATCAACCCTAAGAATCCGGTTTTAAGTACATGAAAGTTGAAAGATTATTCAGATCTTTTAATTTATTATCAGCAAAGACAATGGCTTGGCCAAGTCATTTTAATAGGAACAGTTCAACTGGTTGCTGGGCTCCTAAAGGCAGGAGGTGCCAAGTGACTGAAGGCTTCACTTCTCAGGGGGCGTCTGGTGTTCGCACAAACTAAGCAATTAGTTACAACATTTACTTCCTGCTTTTCCCATCATCTAATTTGTTCATGTTTTAATTCTTCAATCCATTGCAAGGTATCTCACGGCTAGGCAACAAATACTGAATTTCTCTTTCTGTTCACTCAAGAAAACTTTGAAAGCCGATTATGCTTTCTCTCCATTAGGGACATGGTTAATTATTGGCTTGTGAAAGCAATGCAATCCATTCATTGATTTTGCAGAGATTAATTAAGCACCCACTAATGTGCCAGACATTGTTCTTGGTGTTAGAGATACAGGGAGGACAAGTCAGACAAGTTTTTGCTCTTGAGGATCTTACATTTCATAGGAGGAGACAGAGGAAAGAAACAACCGCAAAGCCAGGTAATATCACAGAGTGATTTGTTCAGTAAATAAAACATTAAACACAGTGATGTGATAGGGGCTGGGGCAGGGAACTTCCTTAGCTACAATGATCAGAAAAGTCCCTGACTAAAGTTCAGGCCACATGAAGACCCAGGGGGATTGATGACCAGGCAGAAGGAACAAGTGCGAAGGCCTAGAGGCAGGAATGCACTTGGGGTGTAAGAGGAAGAGAAAAAGCACAGTAGTTGGAGGACAGCAAACTATACTGAAATATAACTGACCTCCAAGTATTTGAGGATTTGCCCGTTTGTTTGTTAGTTTGTTCATTTATACTCTGCCTTGTTCCAAAAAGGATTTATAATAGCCCTTTGAATGTTGCTGTTCCTTACAGTGCCTATAGATTTGAGAAAAATAAAAGCGAGTTCTCTAGCAGGTAAAGTCTAAACAATATCTAAGATGGAGCATTAGGACAATCCATGCAAGATGCTTGCTTTTTCTTTTGAAGACTCACACACCTTGAAATGTTATTTAAGAAATTATTTCTAAAGAAAATGGTTGCACTGAATTTCAAATCAGCAGACTCATTCTCTAATTAATCATGGCACATGCTATTTACAAAACTCCTGTTAAAAACAAATTTCTTTTGTACACATTACAAAGAAATGTTACATAAAATTAAGCACCAAGTAATGACTTTAATTTGCGATTAGTGAATAATACACAGATGATCACGCGGCTGTAAAGGAAGCCACTTGGGACATTAACAGATATGCTGGCACAGAGGAATTGGAAACAGGCAGACTGTGAGGCATTGGGCTCAGCTCTGGGTGGAGAATAAAGAGGGCTCAAGAATCGATGGATATTTGATGCTTTGACTTTCAGTAAGAGGCAGAAGCCTGATGAAGCCTTTGCTCAGAGAAGTCAGACTGACCTTTAGGGTTTTTCAAATGGTTTGTAAGTTATTTTTTACTTCTTGCCCAGCAAAAAGGCTTTACAAAACTTAATGACATTTTTATTTAGCTGAGATTTACTGAATGACCTTGGCTCAGAAGTACTTTTTGGCTTTGCAAGAAGCTATAATTGTCCCAAGTTCTGTGAGCCACTTTAACTCAGCTGATTTCTTGGTACTTAGTGATCCCAAGCTAAGGGACTCAGACTTTATATTTTGGGAAATGAAAATAAAATAGAGTAAAGCTCTAATATTTGAAGGAAACCAATACTGTATCGCTCTGAAAGTCTGCAGGCTACATAAGTTATCATATAAACAGACACAAAAAAGAAAATGTTTGATCCCACATTGTAGTGAATGGGTGGGAAAACCAATGGCCTCATGGCTTTGTGATTAAAGTTGGTTTAAACCTCAAGAAATGAAGAAGAGTGGTTAGGAGACTGAAAATGGTTTGCCTTTCTCTTATGGAGAAACTTTTCTGATATTTTCTCAATTCTATTTCCTCTCATCCAAAAGCCAGAGTGAGGCAGGGAAAAGGGTGAGCACAATGAGAGAGTCCTGGTGCCCAGCCCTGGGAGAGGACCTCAGTGCCCCAAGACGTAGAGACTCCCGCAGGGCATTCAGGGCTCCCCTAGCTCACAGTGTCTCTTATTTTTCATTTCATGTGTTCACACGCCTCCTTTGTTTTGTAGATGAAATGGTTATCAAAGAACTGTAGACTCCATGGTGACATTTTAGCTTCTTAAACAGGTGACAAACATCCCTGGCATATCTCTAGGTTGGAGATTAAATCAGTGCCATCATTACTCCTCTCAGGCATCTATGGCTGGTCTCTGTTTCCCATGGAAGCTGAGTTAAGTCATTCCTCCCATGGAACTAGATGGGAATGAGGAAGTCTGTAAACTTAATCCACAATAAAGTCTCACTGTCGTCCTTATTAGGCTTTGGGGCAATACAATAATACACTCACTGAAAGAGGCACACACACCATTACCAGACTAATGATGAGCTGAAGATAAAAAAACAACTTACCGAAGCTTCCGAATGGGATTAATCAACAACTCCAAGGCAATATCATGCTGTGCTTATGTTTTCTGCAAATATTGACATTGAAGAATTAAACACGTGGCTAAAAAGGATATCTTTGTCCCTGTGAAAGAAAGTTTCTATGTTACTATTTCAGATCAAAGAGAATGCAGAACAATAGAAGCAAGAAGGATCCCAAATATGGTGTTGCAACTCTCCTCACCTGCAGGAAGGGACGAGCGCGCTGTATATGTGTCTTTGCTGTTTTTGTTTGTTTAACCTCTATTCCATCACCAGCAATAAGAGTAATAATTACATCACACACACACATATTCTCTCTATAGATACAAACACATAAATATATCCATACACATATATATTAATACATACACATAATTTAAGCTGGAAGAAGAGTGATAGAAAAGGACCTCTGTTTTTTCCTTTTTTTTTTTTTTTAATTTGGAAAGCTATTACAGACTTCTCCAGAAACATTTTGGTACAACAGGGAAGTCTGAACACAGGAGATTTGCAAATGGGGCAACAGTGAAAGTAAGTTCAGGCGATTCAAACAGCATGGAATACAAGGCAGAGAAAGCAGGAATGATTTCTTGAAAGACAAGGCAGAATTGATTCTGGAAACCAGAGATCCCTCACTGAGTAAGTCGTGACTGTTTCAAACAAAATCAGCTAGGAGCTGACCAAGAAGGCAAGTAGTAATGCTTAGATGTGAAGTATTTGTACACATGGTCCCACAATATGAGACATGGATGTATGCTTCCACATAAACTTGTCAGAGCAGCCTGTTTCAGGCAAAAATAGCTCCTTTGGTATTTTCTTGACTACATTCGATGACTTGTTTACTGACCATTTAAGTTAGGGCTGGAGTGTTGTGATAGATTAGATTATCATTTAGCAAATATTCACTCCCTGCCCACCATCCCCAATTCCCGCCCCTCTGTACCTCCATGGAGGCGGTACCTCTGCTTCATTGACGTGGGGTTTGGCCCTGTGACTTGCTTGGCTCGATAGAATACTAGTAGACTTGATATAAGCAGAGCCTGCAAATGTGCTTATGTAGATGGGCTGGCCCTTCTTCTGCTTCTGCCATGAGAAGAAATGTCCTGGTTAGCCTGGTGGTCCAAAGAGGGTGAAGAAGACATAAGGAGCACATCTGGACCCAATCTGTAGCTTGAAATCAAGCCCAGCTAAACTGAACCTGGATCAGCCAAACCCAAATATATGAGGGAGAATAGATGATTATCCTGTTAAGCCATGGAGTTTGAGTGTGGTTTGATGTACAACATTAGCTGTGGCTAACTGATACCAGCAGAACTGCTGAATGAGTAAGCGAAGGAGGCAATGAATGCTCATTGCATCGTGCTTATAAGGCACAGTGAGTAAGCGAATGGCGGAGTCTCCAGCAGGGGTGTACAGAACATGGAAAGTGGGGGCTACCGTGTAGAGCACAGTAGCATAAGTCTCTGCTGAGCACAGGTGGAGGGTCAGAATTTGGCTGTTTGCAGAACAACATAGAGTAGTGGCTATTCTGTGTACAACTTTGTATAATCTGATATCCACAAGAGCTCTTGTTTTTGAAGCAAGGAGAGTGTGTTGGTGGTGATGGTAGTCGTTTGTTTTTGTTTGTTGTTTTGCGTAGTTTTGAGATGGGGGCATAGCCATGGAGAGTTGAAGCCATGATCTAACTGAACTGCTGAATGAGCAAGTGAAGGAGGCAAGGAATGCTTATTGCATCGTGCATTATAAGGCACAGTGAATAAGCGAATGGAAAGTTTCATTGAGGCAGTATCTTGGTAATATTCTCCTTTCAGTAGGGCTGGGTTGTCTGCTGGGCTAAATGGGCAGTTGAACAGAGACACCCACCCCACCCTCACCCCCATTCTCCAGAATCATCAAGAAAGTTCTGTGGGTAGCGACAATGGGAATGAAACTTACCATCTGCAACTGATCCCCTGGACTGGGTAATCACCTGGTAGGTAGAAGGGTAAGGGAGTCTGAAGGAGCTATTTTCAAGAGACATTGTCACCTGGACCCCAACATGGCCACTCTTGTGCATATCAAAGTATGGCACAGAACTAGGGTGAGGATCATTCTTCCCTACTTCTTTGAGGCACCCAGACAGCTCTGGCTCCTTGAAGACTAGCAGGTTAGGGAGATGTCACCAGTGTTACAAACACTTCGTTCTTACCATAGGCACCACCAGCTGGTGCTACAATGAGGTTCCCTCCAACCTGGCATGAGTGGAGGATCCAGGAGAGGAAGGTGGGGGGCTGATTAAGGACCCGACTGGCAGGCATGTGAGGAGACGAGACACTCCTTGGGGACTCCCAGGAATTCACTGGGAGGCCTTGGCAGGGACGTTTGAGCAGGGTGGGACAAAAGAAAGAAATTTGGGATAATAATGCTAATGGGAGCTCATTTGAATGCACATGCTGATGAGGCCACAGAGACATCCCAGTTGGTTTATGCATGTGTTGAAAGTTAACTGTAGCTGGCTCAATTCCCACTGTCGATACCCACAGAACTTTGATGGTCCTGGAGGATGGGGTGGGGCGGGTGTCTGTCTCTCTCTTCAACTGCACATTTAGCCCAACAGACAGCCCTACTGGAAGGAGAATATCACCAAGATACTGCCTCAGTGAAACTTCCACTGCATCACTTCAGGATGAAAACTCACAGGCTCATAATAATGTTGCCAGTTTACGTTGGTGAGAGTTACCAAAGACATGTAATTGCTCAAGAGAAGTAGATGTATATTAAGAGAGAGAGAAAGGAAGAAGAAAGAAAAGGGGGGGAGGTTAGAGAGAGAGAGAGAAATAGAGAAAAGAAAAATCCCAATTAAAGATGTAAAAAAACTTTGAGATATACAAAGGTTCTTTTCTAACCACTGATAACACCAGTGCCTCTTTTCCCCCCAGATATGATATTTAACAGAAAACATAATACATTTATCATCAATGATGTAGAGATTATACCATTTCAGGAACATAGAGATGGAAACGGTCCCTTAATATTCCATGGCCTTGGTATAAAAAGTGAGTCACATCCACTCACAACTCAGGAAATTTCTTGATCTAAGTACATGCTGCACTGCCCACCCCCCCGCCAAGATGAGATAATAAATTCCATCTGTTACTCTTTTTAATTTTTTTTAAAAAAGTTTTGGTATCATCTGTAGAGTTTAAAATATCAGTGGTTTTATGATTCCCAAAGCAGTTGGTTGTCTGAAAAAAGTCTCACTGTCCCTGGGAAGTCTTCCCAAGAAAGAGAAGTGAAAGATATTACAATTTTAATGTAATAATTGGTCTATATAAGAGAGAAACAGTGATATTTACAACATTGTGAGTGAAAGCTTCTCATTAGAAATTCTCACAGAAGGAATTTAAACAAGTTAAGGGAAAGATGGACTATTAATGAAGGGAAACACTTATTCTCCAGTCAGTCATTCATTTATTCATGCAGTAAATATTAGTTGAGTGCCTACTCTGATTGAAGCCTTGAGCACTATGTTTGATTCTCCCTTCTCAGCTAAAGATGAGAGAAAAGCTCTATATGACAGCCAATCCTCTCATCAATTTAATCTTTCTATTCTTCCAGTTGGTCCAATGTCAATGGGAAAAACTGATTTCTGGCTATGCAGCTTCTGGGAGCAAAGTCAGATAATAAATATAGTTCGGATCATGAATAGGCCTACCTGGCTCCAGCTTGTTGTGCTGGCTCGACCAGCTCATGAGCTCATTTTCCAGCCCCCCCATGCTTCATACTGAGGAAAATGATCCATGGGCTACCCAAGGTGCATTCCAGTATGTCCAAGGAGCATCCACAAAATCCAGTGTCCTTAAGTAGCAAAGAGAAGTGGAGGAGAAAATCAAAAGATGAACAGGAAAAGGTAATGTGGTCAGTGGGTCAGTATATCTAGCAGGAATCCTACCATATTTTCAGCTGGGGATCTAAAATAGAATTTTTTTTCCCACACTACACCTGAAAAAAGCGATTTTCTCTGGGATGCAGAACCCCTGAATTCTCTGTATTGGTTTCTGTGTCTAAATCTCAAATTCCAAACAGGGTTATCATATATGTAGGAGAATAGCTATGTGCATAAGCTCATGGACATTGAATCCCAGCTCTGTCACTCACTAACTCTATGACCCTGGGTAAGGTACATAACTTCTTTGTATTAACTTTATTTATTCACTCAAGTAACACTTACTAAGATCCTACCATGTGTCCAGGTGCCCTGCTAGGCAGTGAAACAAAAGACACAGGATCTCTAACCTCAGAACATAACATACTACTGAGAGAGACAGCAAAAAAAAAAAAAAAAGAATGCAACAAATGAAAAAAAGATTTTTTTTTTAATGTGTGAAGTGTTATGAAGAAAACAAACAAGGAGCTGAACTGGAGAAAAAGACATTTGCATTAGATAAAATAAGAGGAATCTTTACATGGAAGGATCATAATCTTGGGAATAATAATATGTTTATGTGAAAATTGGAATAATAACACAGTCTTCATTGGATCATGGTGAGGCTTAATTAGATGATGCATGCAACACATTTGATTTAGTGCCTGGAGTATAGGAAATGTTCAACAAATGTTTATTATTTTTTCTATCCTAGGCTAGACTTAACACATAGACTTAGTACATAGTACTAACACATGGTTTTGTACAAAGTAGGCATTTAATGTGTGTTGGTGGTGAGTTATGATGACAGTGTGGTGACATGGTGCCACTCCTCCATCCTATCACTATTCATTGTCTCTGGCAGCATCAAAGGGGCTAAAATTGCACTCTTAGGCACATACCTGTGATAGAAAGGGGTATATCACCTTCTGGATCCCCAGAGTGGGTCCCTGCAGGACAATATTATTCCAGGCAGAAATCAAGATAACCCTGGTACTGATTTGTGTCTCAGTTGCTCACAGTATAAACAGAAGCCACCAGGGCTGTCCACTCAGCACTTCTTCCCAGGCACAGGAAAAAAAAAAAATATTTCTTTTATAAAAGAAAGATGAAAGAAGGGCATTTTTAGTCTAGTCTGCAGCTCTTTAGAACATAAACTGCTCAGCCCAGGGGAATTGAAATGGATGAAGCATATGCAAAGTCAGATAATGAATGGAGTTTGGGAGGAAAAGATGATAAAAGAAATTGCTTGTTTTTATTTTTCCATCCATAGTGATTGATAGATGAAAAGTGGTCAGTGGTACCAGTCTCACTGATGTTGAACATTTAGGGAAGAGGGCAGCAGTATCTCTGTGATCTCACAATGAACGGAACAGGATTTATTATTTTTAATTTATAAAATAAAATTTCCAATGGATATAAATCATGTGAATTTCTAGGACTACTACTTATTATACATGAGAAGTAAAACTACCACATTTACTGGTCTGCTGGTAGAATTCAGGAGACATACTTCTACCCTTGAGGATGGTATGTTGGTTGAATTATTAATGAGATGAACTATGGAAAGGGGAAAGAACACAGACTGAGGGGTAGACAATGCCTTCTAGTCCTGGGCTGTCACTCACAGATGTGGGTCAGACATTTGTGTTCTCTGGGCTTCCTGATTTTTGTGCCATGCAGTGGTTACAGGTATGTTGTGATCTAATGAAACTCTGGCCCATGAGGCCTGGGATAAATGAAGTCCTCAGCTGATCATCAGTCCAGGATTCCTTGAAAGCAGTCTAAGGGGATTCTGACAGCATGTCCCATAGTACCTTCAGGTGGCAAATACCACAAGCTTATCTGCAACACACAGAGTGCTGGCAGGGAAGTGCTCCTCACTGTCTGTATCAGCAGTCTGCTTCAGTGCACGCTGCTACCTTGTGTGGGCAAGAAATCTGCAGAGATGCCAGAGACTTCTTGTTCCAGGGGCCTAAGGAGCTTGCTATGAGGTCCAAGTCTTGATTGAGTGTGGGAGATGAGGAGATAGGACAGGTGAGACTCCAGCAGGGTAGAGTTCAAGGGCTGCCCTTCACCTCTCTCTTCACATATGCTGGACACTTACACCTGTACTTGCAGTAGCAGCGCCCTTTTTATGGAGTCCATACAAACAGCAGGGCAAGAGCTCCAGCACTGCGAGCACATTCTGCATGTTCAAGCGCCTTTCTATTGAAATACTTGGAATGAAAAAAGTTCGACTGAATTTGAAATCCATTCTCATTATCAAAAGAAATTTTAACATTTACATCGGTCAAAGAAAATAAAAAAGAAAAGCTCAGATTCTTTAAAGAAAGGTAATTTCAACTGTTGTAAATTTTTGAATGACTGTAAAAAATGGTGTTAAATTTTTTATCACCTACTTGTGAGAACAAAGTTTCTCATCAATGGTGACTATCAAGAATTTGAAGAGATCATTAAAAAGACTTGATCAGGACTTGCTTGTAGCCATTTCAAACATAAAACTTGGTATAAAACAGTTATGTACATGGAAGCAAGCTCAACTGTCTCATTAAAATTCTTGGAAAAGATTTTATTTTGAGCTTTTGCACACATTCACTATTCAATATCCATTTCTAATGTTCTTTATTTTTATTATAATAATAAAGTATAAAGAAAATGTAAATGTTTTCACTTTGTTTATATAGGTGTCCTGAAGTCCCCCCCCGCCCCCACCCCGCCAACTTGTATTAGGCCATTCTTGTGTTGCTATAAAGAAATACCTGAGCCTGGATAATTTATAAAGAAAAGAGGTTTAATTGACTCACAGTTCTGCAGGCTGTACAGGAAGCAAGGCATTGGCATCTGTTTGGCTTCTGGGGAGGCCTCAAGGAACTTTTACTCATGGCAGAAAGCAAAGTGGGAGCAGACATCTCTCATGGCAGAGTGGGAGCAAGAGTGAAGTGGGGAGAGGTGCCACACACTTAAACAACCAGATCTTGCAAGTACTCACTATTGCAAGGAGAACACCAAGCCACGAGGGATCTGCCTCCCACTAGGCCCCACCTCCAACACTGGGTATTACATTTCAACATGAGATTTGGAAGGGACATCTAAACGATATTACCTCTAGTTCATTTCTGTGTGACTGGTGTACAGATATTATGTCATAGTTTGAGTAAATATCAGGACACACACATGTTAATGCTGGTCAAAGAATGCTGGCTTTCTTTGACCCAATCCTACAAGTAACTTGGGCCTCCACTCTCCCACCTGTGAAATGAGTGGATTAGATTAAATTATTTCAGTTACTCCAATTTCCAAGTTTCTTTTAACCATCCATGTACTTCTATGCATGTCAAGAATTTACTTCTTAGGAAGTTTCATCTTAGTAATTGATCAATGACTTTTTAAATAACTGTAATGCAAAATGGTCTTGCTACAAACCAAAGAAACTTGGTATGCATCACCAGATAGTGGAATCGCATAAACTTTGTGATAAAAGCATTTATTAGCAGGAGAAATTTAGCCAGCACCTTGGCTCCAAAGAACTCAACGTGCTATGTTAATGCTACAAGCCTATTTTTTTTCAAGTAAAGTCCCTGCAAGCGTTTCTCTTGCTCCTCTAAGTTTGGAAAAACACATCAATTTGAAGGAAGCCATGGCATAGTAGTTCCCTTCCCTTTGCATTCAGAGGGCATTGATGATATGGCCTGTATTCATGTTGATCACTTTTATATTCCAACATACCTGCCCACTGATTTCCAGCCATCTCTTTCCACCTTTGAAAACAATCATCTCAGATACCTTTTAATCAGCTTATTTGGAGTTAGAATCCTACCTTACCTACCTTCTCCTCCCCAGTTCCCTGCCCCTCTATGGGCAAACACAATTTTTTAAAGTAAGCCAGATATATTCAACAGTCAAGAGCAGAACAGAGCTCTAGTGCAGACCTTAAAATCCACATGCTTTAGGAAGAGGTCTGGGAAAGTATATTTCTGAATATCAGAAAATGTGGAAACAGTAAAGCATTCATTTCAAATGAAAAAATTTAAAATAACTGAGTACACATTACCCTATCAGACATGGACAGCTTTGGCATAGACCATTGAATATGTGAGTGCATAACTCCTAAATGCTTGCAGCTACTCCTAAAATTAGAAATATGTGCAGCCCAGAGAAATTTGAGCAGGAGAAAAAGTGTTATGTACTATGATGCCTCAGACTTGCCCTTTGAGAGATGTGGCCAGTCTTTCTGGGAAGATGAGCATCAAAATCTATGTAAAGAAATGATCTAACATTGTCAGCACATTTGTTCCAGGGATTAGCATCAACATCACACAAAATAGGTAATACAGGGTATAAGCAAAAGTTCAGGGTTTGGTCTTCAGGTGAAGGAGATAAAGCAAAAATCAGGAATTAGTAACGACTTAAACAATGAGGTCTCTTGGGTTTCAGCAGGAGCTCAAGTTACATAAATGGACCATTTAGCAAAGATGAAGGACACTATAGAAAACCATAAAATTCAAGAACTGATATTGTAAAATCATAGGAAGAAATCACATTTATTAAGCACCATATGTAGGGCACTGTAATAAGTGCTTTCACACCTTGCAAGCTAAGTATGACCATAGCATCATTCCCCTTTCTAATTGATGAGAAGACTAGGACTAATAAAAATGTTAAGAAATTTCTTACAGGTCATACAGCTGGTAAATGATCAATAGCTGCTAAGCTCAGACTTGGTGTTGACTTTAACCATAAATGTTATGGGTATGTCTATCTCTTGGCTTAATTGAGGGGAAATTCTCCAATATCATAATACCTTCCCTACTGGCTCCATTTAATTCCACAGTTATAGGTAAATTCCTTAAAGTCTTAATGATTTTGTTTTTAAAATTTCTGATCTAAATTCAGTCATCCAAGGTGGGGGGCATCTTAAGTAGCTCCCAGG